CTCTCTATCTATCTCTCTATCTCTCCCTCTCTCTCGTTCCATTCCCACTTTGCTCCGCGTTGCAGTTTGACGCTCCCATATAAAAAGATATTTTAAAAAATCGAAAACGAATTTATGTAAATGTTTATTCATCTGCTACTATCTGTTGGATCATGTTCCATATTTAGGGATCGGTGACACGTGTGTAGGTTTACTTCACATGTTACAATGCGTTTTACGAAATAAGATGATGCTACACAGCAGGAGCACCGGCTTTTAAGTTTACATTAACGACGCGAAGGAAAATATTCCCATAGTTCCAAAATTTCACTCATGGAAAGTCGAATCCTCTTATGAACCGCCAGATCCTTCCATAAAGCACCGAATCCTATCATGGATACTCCCCAAAGCTTCAACAAATCCTCTCGGATCCTGCCATGGACTCCGGAATTCTCGCACGGACCAGCAGATCCCGCGGGACCTTCGACTCCTGCTGGCGGCGCGGGACTCACGGCGCTAAATAAGAATAATGGGCGTCGCGTGGCCGGCAGTGGGGAAAATATCACAGTCCGTCCGTGGTTGCGCCGTCTTGAGCGAGCTTTGGTCCGCTTCTTTGTGGAGAGGAGCGCGGCCGGGCGAGCGGGACGGAAGCCGCGTGAAGGCCAAGCGTCGGAATGTCACGACCGACGATTTAGAAGGAGAGAAGCGGCGCCGCAACCCAGACCAACGAAGATACGCTTTCCAGTCATGTGTACAAAATTGATAATGATGATAAATAAATGAAAACATGAATGAAAATTAAAATTTCTGTATATAGCATATCGCCAAGCAATTCATAAAGAATTATTAAGAAAACTGACTTATTGTACCGAGATGTGTGATACCTGATATTGCAACAGCGCGTTTGCACCAGAAGAGAGACTAAGAACGGGGAGGTGAGGGGCTGACAGATTAAGTGATGCGGAACGCTAGATGGCGAAGGCCTGGGCGGGGAAGCTCCATGAGGGAAGGGCTTTGGGCTGGCAAAGACTCGGTGAGGGATGGCCGTGGAGGGTCATTCGCTCGGCTCTCGCGAAATCTTTCCCCCAAAATGCAGCGCCGTCGCCCTAAAGGACGCTAAGGTGCGCGCTTATCTACATAGGTTTTATGCGTGCTAATACGGCCCTATTGTATTCAGGTTATAACAAGGCGCGCGCAAACACACACACACACACACACACACACACACACACACACACACACACACACACACACACACACACACACACACACACACACACACACACATATATGTGTGTGTGTGTGTGTGTGTATGTGTATGTATCTGTATATGTATATATATGTATGGATATATACATACATATGTATACATACATATATATACATATGGACATAAATATGCATATGCATATGCATATACATATGCATATACATATACATATATACATATATACATATATACATTAATATATATATATATATATATATATATATATATATATATATATATATATATATATATATTATATATATATATATTATATATATGTATATATATATATATATATATATATATATATATATATATATATATATATATATATATATATATATATGTTTATATATGCACAGGCACGCGCACACACACACACACACACACACACACACACACACACACACACACACACACACACACACACACACACACACACACACACACACACACACACACATACACATACATACAGATATATATATAGAGATTTTTTTTTATAAAAGATATATGAATTAATTATCGATCGGCATAGCGAGTGACACGGGCGTGTCGGGCATGCGGGTAGCCGAACGCCTGGCATTGGCACGGGCGGGCACGCACGATGAGCGCCTAGCATTCCGATTTGCCATTTCCTCGGCTCGTGCGTGTCTCGCGGCCGTTCCTTAGCCTCCCCGTCGCACGCCGAAGGTCATCCTCGCGTCTGCCATGCCTTGTAGAGCAGGAGAAAATAGTTCATGGACATTAGAGGTCGTAACTTGAGGCGAAGAAAAGAAACGGAAAAGGAATTACACCGCGGGAAGGAGCGAGGCGCTGCTGGCTTGTATTTTAAGAAAGGGGGAATCACCTTGCAAGTTCGGAAGAGAAGCGTTTTTCTGTTCTCGGAATCGTTTTCGAGCCATTGAACTAATAGATTCTGTGGGGAAAGATGATATATGCGTCTTATATAAACGGGAAATGGGTTTTGTAAAATATCTGTGGAAATAAAATAAAATTGCTATGTTCTTGCTCTTGACGTGAAGGGAGCACAGTGAATATGATGGACAATTAAGAACTTTCTCGGCTTTGCTTTATCATTATTATTGCTACAGAAGTATTTACGTATGTTAGTCAGTTATTAACTTCCAATTACTCAGAAAACACGCCTGTGTTCAGACCATAAATTCGCAGTGGCGATGCGTCTGACTCCAGTGTTATGAATAAAAATGAAACAAACTCTATTCATTGAAGAGTAAAGTTCCTGAGGCTAGCCTGGGACGGCGGCACGGGGAGGGGAGGGGGAGGGGAGGGACATCACTGCCCTTGAGACATACTTTGATCTACGTTAATTATGACCGGCCCCGCACACGCCAGCGCTCAAAATTCGTTTCTTGCTTTTTCGCATTTTAAAATATTTTCTAGATTTTGAAATCACTGTTTTGCCGAGGTAAGATGTATCGAAAGACCTGAGACGTCACGATCAATTCCAGAGCTTCTTTTGATGTTGACTTCCTGCCAAATACCTCAAGAAGACCGTAATTGATTTTGCTGACGCCGAAAATGTCATGAGCGAAGTAAAGTTACGTGACAACAAAGCCGTCCGAGTTACCTTTGTAAACGACGCACGATGTAACGTTTACCGAACTTTCAAGATGACTGAGCGAATTCGAGGCCGAGAAGGGGCTCTTTGATCTAGGCAGTAATTATGGCAGCTTACGGAATATTCAATTATACGTTCGAGTAATTACGTGGAAGGTATTCTGACGCTGCGATAACTTTTAATCTCGCGTAACCATGTTATCCTTACGTGCGCTCCAAGGGCGACAGCGGCCTGATCCTCTCTTTCTGCGGTCGAAGGAGATTAGCATTCCCGACACTTCAGCCTTCCCCTGCGAGGTGAGGTCGATCTTGACCGGCGAGCGATATCAGAATGAACGACGGAACACGGCCAGGCGGCTCAATTGACTTCCCTGGCGATCACGTGCGCCGCCGGGGAGTCAATCGCCACCAATGCGTGGATAAAAGTCAACATCTGGTTTGTATTTTGGAAGCGGCGCCGCCTTTTTGGAAGGTGCAGACGCTGCGATAAAATTATTCGTTTGATTTAATTTCGTACATCTTCCATGTAAAGTGAATTGCATTTCCGGAGTTCGTCTCAGCACGTAGAGGAATGGTAGTGCGAAGAATACTCAAGTTTATTTTTACGCGAGATATACAGTTCGACGTAGAGGAAGCTGAATGTTCTGTTGTTTATCTATACGCGAGTTTTTTCTGTTTTGCGCATAGGAAGTTAAACACCAGTGAGTTGATTGAACGTTGCCTTTTTCATGAAAACGCTATAGTTAAAAGTTTTGACTTTTTTTATTAATCGAATCAACATTGGTCGCCCCTTTTATTTAATTTATTGCAATCGTGGCTATGTATATTAACAAGTTATATGCGAGCGAATTCTTTATATTACGGACGAACGAAATTTCTTGAGCATTACCGGCTTTGATTTGATTTGAAAAATATTCTGGAACCGTATCGCGAACGAAGCACGGAGTCAGGGAAATTCATGTGCAAGGTCTCTGCATGCCCCGGTGTGACCCTAGCTTTTCTCTCCTTTTCCCTCCAGGCGAGGCCCCTCCTACGCCTGTGCCCTCGTCCAACGTGGGCAAGGAGGCCTCAACCAAGCTACCTGGCCTCTGGGTCGTCATCATAGTACTCGTTGCCACTGCATTGCTTGCTCTCAACGTTTCTGCCATTGTCTGTATAGTTAGGCGGAGGAGGAACAAGCGGGCTTCTCCCCCCACCAAGAAGACTCCGCCGCCGTCTGTGTCGTCGACCATGGCCAAACCCATGCCGCTCTCTGTCACGCAGGGTAAGTCACTCGCCTTGTTTCCGTTTTTTTACGATTAGCCATAGATTTCCTTTCGTTTGTTTCAGGCCAGCCCCTTTTAGGCGACCGGGAACTCCTATTAAACCAAGTTCTCGGAGGTCGCGGAGACCTTCCCAAGCTGATCATCATTGTTGTAGCCATCGTCGGCACCATGATTGTGATACTCAACATTGCCCTCGTCATCTGTCTAATACGCAGAAAGCGTGGGAAGAGACGAGATGATGGTAGGAACCGATAACGAACTCACACCCCATGTTTGCTCTACTCAACTCGGCCAACATGCTTCTAGATCTCCTGTTCAGTATATTAAGATTATTCCTGTCTCCTTAATCCTCCGCAATATATCAGATTTTCTATCACCATTTCCTTTCCTGCTGAGAATCTTCATGCCTCGGCATCCTCCGTGCGACAGCTTTGGCATTGTTGCCTTATTTCATGTTCTCTTTACCCCACGTTTCTTTGAAGTCGCTTCATTCTTCTAACATAAATATCAATGGCATTTAATTAAAAAAATGTTCAACACAAGACGTCCAACAAGCTGAACATTCGTAGGAAAAATAACAACTTGTGCTTCTTCCTCGTAAGCTCGTTTCAGGGTTTACTCTTTCTCTCCATTGACAGTGTGTTGCCGTTGGTTATTGTTCATGCATTCATGCAAGTAGTTGTCATAAGACGCCTGTCGAGGGCGCTTTAGTCCTGTCTGTATATTGCGAAAGAGGATATAGTCAAGTGGCCAATTATCGTGAACATTCATGTGCGGTGAATTTTCTTTAGTTCTTTGAGTTTTTTGTATAGTCTTTTTCACTGATTTATCTTTTATTTATTTTTCATTATTGATTTTCAATTACGATAGCAATGTCTATTATACTATAAGTATCCATTATTGCC